GGAGTGGCAGGACCTCCACAGGGTGGGAGGTGACCCCCAGGCCCTGATTGAGCTGGGGGCCGAGGGAGTGGCAGGGCCTCCACAGGGTGGGAGGTGACCCCTGGGCCCTGATTGAGCTGGGGGCCGAGGGAGTGGCAGGGCCTCCACAGGGTGGAAGGTGACCCCTGGGCCCTGATTGAGCTGGGGGCCGAGGGAGTGGCAGGGCCTCCACAGGGTGGAAGGTGACCCCTGGGCCCTGATTGAGCTGGGGGCCGAGGGAGTGGCAGGGCCTCCACAGGGTGGGAGGTGACCCCCGGGCCCTGATTGAGCTGGGGGCCGAGGGAGTGGCAGGGCCTCCACAGGGTGGGAGGTGACCCCCGGGCCCTGATTGAGCTGGTGAGCTGGGGGCCGAGGGAGTGGCAGGGCCTCCACAGGGTGGAAGGTGACCCCTGGGCCCTGATTGAGCTGGGGGCCGAGGGAGTGGCAGGGCCTCCACAGGGTGGGAGGTGACCCCCGGGCCCTGATTGAGCTGGGGGCCGAGGGAGTGGCAGGGCCTCCACAGGGTGGGAGGTGACCCCCGGGCCCTGATTGAGCTGGGGGCCGAGGGAGTGGCAGGGCCTCCACAGGGTGGAAGGTGACCCCTGGGCCCTGATTGAGCTGGGGGCCGAGGGAGTGGCAGGGCCTCCACAGGGTGGAAGGTGACCCCTGGGCCCTGATTGAGCTGGGGGCCGAGGGAGTGGCAGGGCCTCCACAGGGTGGGAGGTGACCCCCGGGCCCTGATTGAGCTGGGGGCCGAGGGAGTGGCAGGGCCTCCACAGGGTGGAAGGTGACCCCTGGGCCCTGATTGAGCTGGGGGCCGAGGGAGTGGCAGGGCCTCCACAGGGTGGAAGGTGACCCCTGGGCCCTGATTGAGCTGGGGGCCGAGGGAGTGGCAGGGCCTCCACAGGGTGGAAGGTGACCCCTGGGCCCTGATTGAGCTGGGGGCCGAGGGAGTGGCAGGGCCTCCACAGGGTGGAAGGTGACCCCTGGGCCCTGATTGAGCTGGGGGCCGAGGGAGTGGCAGGGCCTCCACAGGGTGGGAGGTGACCCCCGGGCCCTGATTGAGCTGGGGGCCGAGGGAGTGGCAGGGCCTCCACAGGGTGGAAGGTGACCCCTGGGCCCTGATTGAGCAAGCAGAGAGGAGGCACAGAGTGAGGGTTTCACGCAGAATTTTCTATATAAATCAGCCTGACAACTGAAGTCCTGCCTATTCTGTGTGAATTAAAAATGTGTAATTGCACACATCAACATCTGCATGAAGTTACTTCAATCATGTGTGTAAAATAGGAATTTGAGCACACAAATCCAGTGTGCTAGCCAGTGTTTTTCTGTAAACAAACAAACAAACAAAAGGTGCCAGTACTCATTTCTTGAGGAAAGTACATTTGAAAAATGCCTCCCCCCACCTTCTTCCTATATCACGTTGACATACGTATGCGCATAAGCGAAAAGCACATTTTTCATCTTGCTGTTCCCACAGAAAGAGTCAGTCAGGCTCGGGACTGCGCTGGGAGAAAGCGGTGCAGTGCCAGTGCTCCAAGGGCCAGCTGGCGGTTGTGCTGAGAGAAAGCAGCACAGCACGAATGCTCCCAGGGCCAGCAGGAGGCTGTGCCGGGGGAAAGGGGTGCAGCGCAAGTGCTCCCCAAAAAAGGTGCCGGTATGCCGTACCTGTGCATACTGCCACAAAAAAACATTGGTGTTAGCTATGCCTGACTGGTCATGTGTGAGTGCAAGTACCTTATTCATACATGCAGTCATACTAATTGCACACAAGAATTTTTATGAAACTCAGTCTTGAGGTATCCTAGGCCACTTGTCCTAAGAGCAAGGAGGTTTCTGGGGTGACTGTAATTAAAATTTCCCTTCTGTTGTGCAGAATGGTGCATGCTAGTTTCATTACTACCCCTTCGCCTCAAAGATGTGTGCATTTCAGTAATGCTATATATAGCATAAAAGCTTTTTAGAATAGGGATGTTAAGATGCACTTAATTGGCTAAGTAAGTAGTTGATAGAGTTTTTATCGATTACTCAATAATGGAAGGCATCCTAGCTCAGGCCTGGTTCATGCTGGGTCCAGGATCTACCCCCAGTGTGGCTCTGCGGTTTGAATGCTCTAAGAGCCAGGCTGGCTGCCTGGTCAGAGCAGCCTCTGCCCGCAGTGGGCCCATGGTTGCTGGGACAGAGGCTGCTGCTCTGCGGGATGTGGACCAATACCATTGGTTCTTCTGGCTCCATGTCAACACCCTTAGCTACCTGAGTTTAACCCTTGAGTCACCAAATACTGGCCAGCACTACTCCTATCCATCACAGTGACAAAAGGGAAAATAGAATTTGGAAGTAACATGGCTCAGATATTCCATATTTGCTTATATATGGCATGAATAAACATAGATTTACAGATCCTAGTATGCCAATATATTGTCTTATATGGCAGGGGTAAATCATGCATGTAAATCAGGCATCAGCGTTGTGAAATGGGCTACAAATACAATAAAGTAAGTGTTCAAGGGGTTAACAAGTAGGAAGACATTAAAAATGCACCTTGGAGCACCATTTGATATAGGGTTGGCCCTGACTCTCATGACCTGGGTTCTGTTCCTGGCACTGCCACTGATCTGCTGTGTGATTTTGTGGGAAAAATCACATCACCTCTTTTTGGTTCTGTTTTTAGCTCCCAGACTTTCGTTGGACTAAATAAACCATAAGCTGTTTGAAACAAGGGCTGATTTTTACTTTCTGGCTGTGTCTAGACTGGCAGCTGTCTACATTGCCAGCTGTCTACACTGGCCAATTGAATTTACGCAAGAACACTGACGATCTCATCTAAGAAATCAGTGCTTCTTGCGGAAATACTATGCTGCTCCCATTCAGGCAAAAGTCCTTTTGCGCAAAAGGGCTAGTGTAGACAGCTCAGATTTGTTTTGCACAAAAGAGCCCCGGTGGTGAAAATGGCGATCGGGGCTTTCTTGCACAAAACCGTGTCTAAATTGGCACGGACGCTTTTCCGCAAAAGTGCTTTTGCGGAAAAGCGTCCGTGCCAATCTAGACGCTCTTTTCCGCAAATGCTTTTAATGGAAAATTTTTCCGTTAAAAATACTTGCGGAAAATCATGCCTGTCTAGACGTAGCCTCTTTGTAGAGTGGATGGCACAATGGGGCTCTGATCAGTTGAGGTCCCCATGTGATAGTATAACACAACTAATAATAAGTCCACCCTGTGTACACTTCTGTAACTCGCATGCATAATGCAAGTTATAGCTGAGAAGCTAGTTTCAGAGCTGCCCTCTCCAAACAATGCAGTTAAGGACTAACTCTCCCCAGCTCAGCTGGAAGGCTGTACTAAGTTATCTCAGGCACATATTAATGGCTCATTTGGCTCTGGACTTGCCAATTGCCTAACACAGCTCACTGGAATCCAAGTTACAAATTAACCACGTGAATGATTAATTCATAAGTGGATCATGAGCTGTGGGACTCTACCAATTAATAATATTAGTAATAGGTTTCAGTTCAAGCAAATCAAGAGGAAAAATTGTGTTTTGATTTTCATGGTAACCTCTAACAAGGGGCCTAAGGCACAAAAAACCCAACTGAAGGAATCAGATATAAAACAAAGAATTATAAATACTAGCATTACCACTCCTGTTGTGACAGTAGATGTACACGTGGCCTTTTCCCTCCTGGCTGTTCCCAGGAGTGGGGAGGCTTGGGCCATGCGGCCACTTCCCTTCCCACTGCTCCTGGGGGCATGGGATTGTGGCTGTGCATCATTTCCCCTGCTCTAGGAATGCTGGGGGGCATGTGCATGTGCTCTTCCCCTACCTGTGGTGGTGGGGCAGCATGCATGCTTGGCCAACTGCTCCTCCTTTCCTCCCCATGGGAGAAGGAGTGGAGGGGCAAGGCCTCAGCAGCAGGGTTGTAGATGGGGCTGGGGGCATGCCTCCCCCTAGAAACTTCTCAAATGTTCTCTGTGACAGATGGTATAATGAACTCCTCTCCTTTTATAACAGTATATATGGGATTTTTTAAAAAAAAATAATGGTTTTAGAATTTTATGTGTATCCGTCCGTATGCGTTGTTACATAGCATGTGTGTAGCACAAACTATCAAACTGAATTTAAGACTCGCAGAGAATGGCTGGATAATGCATTAAAGATATGAGTTTGTATTTTTAAAGGAGTATGTTTCCATGCCCACATTGAACAGCATTGCTTATCTGCCCGTTGTGGGCTTTGACCCCCTTAGATCTCAAGATATGCATGATCAGGCTAGGTCAGTGCAGTGATGGCTGAAGTGGTGTGGATCTAAGTTCCCTTTACCCAGCCACAAAATTCCCTTGTACAGGCCAGCAAAGCCTATAGGCACTGGTGATGCTTATCCCAGCCCAAGTAGAAGTAGCCACGTTGGGTCAAATTGTGGCTTTGGTTTTTTTTAGTAGGGGTTTGCACTGGTGCAGCTATATCCCCAAAGGCTTTAACTGCTGAACATTTCCAGTGCAGGGAACAAAAGTGACATGGGGAAGGTGACACATAGGTCTTGACGATCTTCCCTGATTAGGGCCACAATCTGCTTTTAAACCTGTGTAAATCTGACTGACTGTGCTAGAGATACCCTGGACCTGCACATACGTAACCAACTTTAAAATTTAGTGCTATGAGATACTTGAGTGAAAGGAGCTTTACAAACACAACTTTTGATTAAAATCAGTTCTCCCCTAAGTATTATAACATTATGTAATACTCCATAGGAAGGTATTTAAGCTTATAATACCTATCAGTGGGGGTCTTATAAAATATTCTAAGCTAAATTATAGAAACAAGGTGGGTGAGCTATTGTGTTATTGGACCAACTTCTGTTGATGCAAGAGACAAGTTTTCAAGCCACATAGAGCTCTGTGTGACTCTAAACCTTGCCCCTCTAACATAAGTTGGTCCAATAAAAGATACTACCTCACCCACCTTGTCTCTCTAATATCCTGGCACTGACAGTGCTATAGCTGTACGGCAGATGTTCTCTGTGACAGATGGCATGATGGACCCCTCTCCTTTTATAACAGTATATATGGGACTTTTGAAAAAAGTAACTGTTTTAGAATTTTGTGTGTATCCATCCATATGCATTGTTACATAGCACATGTGTGTAGCACAAAATATCACTCTTTGAATTTAAGACTCACAGGCTATGTCTCAACTGCAGTCTTCTTGCACAAGAATGGCCATTCTTACACAAAAACTTGTGGAGTGTCTCTAGAAGCCCGTTCTTGTGCAAGAAAGTTTACAGTAGATCATCAGAAGAGAGGGCTTTTTGCACAAGAGTTATTCCTCTCCCCACGAGGCACAAGCCTTTTTGTGCAAGAGCTCTTGATCAAAAAGGCTAGTGTGGACAGGAACAGGGGTTTCTTGCTAAAATGGCCATCTTGCACAAAAACACATGGCAGTATGGATGCACTCTTGTACAAGAACTCTTGCGCAAAAAGTTCTTGTACAAGAAGCCTGTAGTGTAGACATAGCCACGGAGAATGTTTTAGTGGCTGGTTAGTGCATTAAAAATGTGAGTTGTATTTTTAAAGGAATAGGTTTCCATGCCCACATACTAAATTACTCTACTGGGCACAACTAAAATAAGAGTGATTCACTAATATCATTAGTCCAGGCTGCCTGTTCCTTGAGAAATCAGAGTTCCTATTCAGCACAAGTTAGGAGCTTTCTGAATTGGTACCTATGTTAAAGACATTAGCAGCTGTATTTTGCATGCCCTAGCTTTACAAACCCCCACAGGAGAATTCCTAGAAGCATTTTTTTCAGCAAACTAAAACTAGTATAACATTGTTTTTACCCACAAAGGAAAGGTGCAAAGACACCACACCCAACAAGCATGACAGCGCTGCAATCATTAGCAGGATATTGTGACATCATCTGCTCAGTTGCCTCATGCTGCCAGAATGAAGAACAGGTTCAATATGCACAATGAAGGAGAGACTGAGTATGTATGTGCAGCACAGATTAAAAAAAAATCCATCTCCCTCTTTTGCTAGTGGCCTCATTTCACAGAAGGAGGACCAGGCTGGACCAGTGCAAAAGGAATCCACTGTCTGCAATCCTTCTGGCTCAAGCAAGACTAATGAAGAGAAAACAATCATAAAACGTCTGTAAGTATTGTCACTGCTCTTGCAGCACTTTATAACAGTGGGCTGACTTGATGGGATACTTGATCTCTCACAAACACCCTCCTCCCCATTATAAAATGTAAGGACTGTTACTAGAGTCCTCCAGCAGTCAACCCCCCCACTTAAGTCAACCATATTTTGGTAGCCTCAGAAGCCTACCACTGTCATGCATCATGGGCTGATGAAATTGTTGCACTGGGGGGCGGCAGGTCTGATAAACTGGTTCTTAGGCTCAGCTCTGTCCCTCAACTTGTTTTTGTACCTTGGGAAAATCACTTCACCTGTATGCTTCTACCTCCTTCACACTGTTTATTGGTCTTGTCTATTTAGACTAAGTTCTTCAGTGCAGGAACTGACTTTTATTTGCATTTGTACAATATCTAGGACAAGGCATCAAGGGGCTACAGTAATACTCAGATTGTTACATTGTAGAGTTTCCAAACTACTGAAAGACACTACCTTCCATTGACAACAAGGACAGTTAGCTCTTTTTGTAATACATATTGCAATGGGCACTAGTGACAAGAGACATGAAAAGATTAAATGAGCATTAGAAATAGTGACTGACTGTGTAGCTCAGCCATGAGCTTTTAGTGGCTGAGGCTAACTTGGTTCATATTGAAGCTGCACATAGGTCCTCTTTGATAAGCTGGTAAAAAGTAACTGCTGCTTCACTTAACTTGTGAGTCAATTTCACGGTAGGGATAGGCTGACTAGACACAGACAGAATGAACACTTTGCTTAAACAGCATTAAATTAAAGGTATCAGAGACAATCTGTCTAAACTATTAGCAGTGCTTGTGTACGAGGAGAGGGGTTCTTAAGAATGGCCCCAGGTCAAATCCTGGAGTACTTTTTGCAAAATGAAAGGGAAATTAACACTTAAATGACATGGCTCAGCTTTCTGTTCTTGTTTCCTCCTCTAGGAATATGAAATTGCATCTCAGACTGCTTTACAAACTATATCAGTGCAGTAAAATAACATTAAAACTTTATAGTTTTATAGTCCCCTTTATGTGTAGAACTCAAAAGTGCTTTATAAAGGCGGGCATCAGAATTTGAGGGAGAAACTGGAGCACAGATGAAGTGATTTGGCTGAAGTCACAGCATGTCAGCAGTAGACAGAGGAAGAGAGCCCATTGTCTTACTACCCAGCTCCCTAACCTTATCTTCTGGACAGGGCTGGTGCTTCACATACTAGCATAACAGCAAAGGAAGGAGTGATTTGCCCTGTGCCTGTGAAAAGCATCTTGTAAGGCCAAAGACTTCATCCCTGCTACACAAACAAGGCTTCAGTTAAGGTCTGAGCCAGGGGACACATTAAATCATATATGTTTCTTGGATCAAGGAGGCTGAATCCAAGACAATAATTACTAATCTTTCAGAGCTAATCATTAAACTGTTTTGCACCATTGCCTCCCCCACCACAGGCACTAAGAATTTCCACATTGTGTTGTGCACTGACTATCTCCTGAGGTTTATTTGTGATGGGATTCAAGTGGCAATACACAGCCAGAGCCTGATCAAGTTCTATTCTTATAACTTCTTAAAACAGCCCTCCCCATTATGTTGGCTAGACAGAATCAATTGGCAGTAGTAGTCTCTCTTTTTTGTAAGATGCTTCCACTCCTCCACTGTCCCCTTCTTACTACAGGTTCTTTTTCAAATCTGGAAAATGAACATGACTGAAAATTGAGCCACATCTGCTCAGCAAGTTGCAGCCCTGGAGAAGAAACATTAAAAGCAAAGCATCAGTTTCACTGTAGAGAACATACCTTATCACAAGAATGTGTATTTGCATATTTTGCTTTTAAAAAAACATTTCTTTCAATGTTTGTATTAAGGAATAAGTGGGGTTTTTTTTACCTCCTGTTAAGGATGGCAGACTTCCTCTAGACATATCCAGGCAGATATAGTATGGAATAAACTATTTTTTATATTGCTATAGCTATTTTCAGTCTTTCATTGAACCATATGCAAGACATGCCCTGTAGAAGAAAGATTACAGGCAGTCGCCGACTTACGCAGATCCGACTTATGTCGGATCCACACTTATGAACGGGGCTTTCTCGCCCTGGAGCTTGCAGGCAGCGATCCGCCGCCTCGACCTCTGGGGCGAGAAAAGCTGCTCCCGGTGCCCCGGTCTGCTGGAGACCGTCTCCAGCAGACCCAGGAGCAGGAGTAGCTCCTGGATCTGGGGTGAGCTGTGCTTGCTCAATCCTGGGTCATGACAAGTCCCGGACTTAACCCCACTGTACCTCTACAGTTTAAATGTAACAGAAGACAGATTGCTTGTGGGCCCAGCTCCTACTACATTTAAACTGCAGAGGCGCCTCAGGGATAGCTCCTGGACCCAGCATGAGCCGGGACCGAGACGCTTCCCTTATCGACTAATTGTGTAGTCAACAGAATTTTTATTGATTACACAATTAGCCAATTACCTGCCTCTTAACATCCTTAGAAGGCATTAGGCTATTGAACAGATGATGTCAGGCTAATGTATTGCCATCATCTGAGCAATTTCCGATTTGCTTCAGTTTCTGGGTTTCTTTTAAGATCTGGACATTTCTAGTATCCAATCACTGCACAACAAAATACACTTTAGATTTAAATATAAATTTATTCAAATGTAAACATTTTTCTGTGTTGGTAATTTTTATGAACACTTTTGTAGATAGTGTAAATAGTAATAAATGTCATATCCTTCTAGTCTTTGAAAATCCCCTCTTTTCCCAGGCACAGAGGTGAGTGAAAAAACTAATACAGGCAGTCCCCGGGTTACGTACAAGATAGGGACTGTAGGTTTGTTCTTAAGTTGAATTTGTATATAAGTCGGAACTGCTTTGTCCCAGGTGTCCAGATTCAGCCGCTGTTGAAACTGATCAGTGGCTGATTCAAGGAAGCCCGGGGCAGAGCTGCTCTGCCCCAGGCTTCCTGAAATCAGCCGCTGATCAGTTTCAGCAGCAGCTGACTTGGGGACGCTTGGGGTTCTTAAGTTGAATCTGTATGTAAGTCAGAACTTGCGGTCAGTTTCAGCAGCGGCTGAATCTGGATGCCAGTTCCGACTTACATACAGATTCAACTTAAGAACAAACCTACAGTCCCTATCTTGTACGTAACCCGGGGACTGCCTGTATTAGTTTTTTCACTCACCTCTGTGCCTGGGAAAAGAGGGGATTTTCAAAGACTAGAAGGATATGACATTTATTACTATTTACACTATCTACAAAAGTGTTCATAAAAATTACCAACACAGAAAAATGTTTACATTTGAATAAATTTATATTTAAATCTAAAGTGTATTTTGTTGTGCAGTGATTGGATACTAGAAATGTCCAGATCTTAAAAGAAACCCAGAAACTGAAGCAAATCGGAAATTGCTCAGATGATGGCAATACATTAGCCTGACATCATCTGTTCAATAGCCTAATGCCTTCTAAGGATGTTAAGAGGCAGGTAATTGGCTAATTGTGTAATCAATAAAAATTCTGTTGACTACACAATTAGTCGATAAGGGAAGCGTCTCGGTCCCGGCTCATGCTGGGTCCAGGAGCTATCCCTGAGGCGCCTCTGCAGTTTAAATGTAGTAGGAGCTGGGCCCACAAGCAATCTGTCTTCTGTTACATTTAAACTGTAGAGGTACAGTGGGGTTAAGTCCGGGACTTGTCATGACCCAGGATTGAGCAAGCACAGCTCACCCCAGATCCAGGAGCTACTCCTGCTGTGCCTTTGCAGTTTAAATGCAGTAGAAGCCGGGCTGTTCGCATGTCCAACTCTTAGTACAATGTAAACTACAGAGGCACAGGAGGCCGGGACTGAGCCAGGCTGCCTGCTTGGCTGGAGCAGCCCCTGTTTACACCAGCCCAGGCTGCCTGTGGACAGGGGCTGCTTCACAGAGGCCCCCTGTGTCTCCCCCACCCTTTGCGCTGCTGCCTCTGGGGGTACGTCTACACTGCATCCCTAGTTCGAACTAGGGATGCAAATGGAGACAATCGAAGTAGTTAATGAAACGGGGATTTAAATATCCCGCGCTCCATTAACATGATCTCGCCGGCGCGCTAGTTCGAATCACAGCTGATTCGAACCAGGAAGTGCGCGCCGGGACGCGTTAGTTCGGACTAAAGCCCTTAGTCCGAACTAATGTTACTCCTCAAAAAATGAGGAGTAACATTAGTTCATGGGATTATCCCGTGCCTCGTAATCAAAATGTCTTCTTCAGTGCCTCTTGTATTCTTGAATGGGTGGGAAAATAGCTTCAGTGTGAAGTTCCTCTGCCAAATTCTGTGCACTCTTCAGAACGGCTGGGATAGAGGCAGCAGCAGGGAGGGAGGGATGGGGAGAGAGGAGTTGGCACCATGGAGGTGTTGCTGGAGGAAACTGGCTTTTAAGCGTCTCCCCTCAGCACCAGCTCCTGCTTCTACTCCCACCCCTTTCTACATCTGATAGAGGCAGCAAGAAAGTGTGGGGGATGTGAGTAATCAACTAGTCAACCACTTGCTTACATCCCTAATGCTTACCACCAAGACTACAATAACTAGTAACAACAGATACCTGGTAGACTCAAGCCAAGCATTGACTAGCCCATTAATATATAATTTTCATGACTATGGATGATCCTTCAGGTAAAAAATAAAGTAAGGTGTTGCATAGTACTTAACACTATTATTACATGCACTCACCCTGCTCACTGGACATATAGGACTTCAGTTAGTACTGGAACCATTTAGAAGCAATATATTTCTGAGCTATAGCATATTCGTAAGTACTGAAAAATTGAGAGAATTCTAGTTTTTGGGAAATAATCACTAATTAAACAGAGCATAAACTAAATGCACTGCATATACAGAAGAGATAGGAATATTAATTATCTAGCTGCAATCCTCTACTAAATGTATTTAGGTAAGACAGATGGAAGGTAGATATAGGGGAGATAATTAGTATTTGAGGTTTGTACTAACATCTACATCTAAAAAGAGTTATTTTAACAGCATTAGATGATGATGCTGAGTAGACATATAAATAGGAAAATTAAAAGACTCAAGAATATAATCTTAGTCCCTTCAAAAGGGAAGTAGATTTTAAGATCTTCTTTGAGTCCCTTTTATGTGCTAGCTGGAAGCAGAATGTAGGTCAGCTGATGTATACAGTACAATTATCCTTCGTAACAAGCATGTTAATATGGCTGCAGAGAAGACAGAAAAATAGTGTCATTTTCAAACATGTTCACTAATAGATTTAGTAAAGCAATATCAAAGATGCTTAACATGGAAAAAAATTGAGATGGGAAACACGCGTGTTGCAGAGGACTGCAACATGGAGTTTGCCATCTGTAAAACATTGGGTATGCTTTTTGTATAGCCTTCCTGGGCCTGAGGGCTAATTAAACTGAGTCATTCTATCAAGCATGGAAGTCTATTGGGCTAACACATCCAAAAATAGTCTTATTCTATTTTTACTGTAGCCACTCTATCAGCAGCTGGTGATAACAAAATTAAAGCATAACTCTGCCATAGAGGTTTGAGTACTCCACCACTCATTCCTGTTACTCAAGGGAATGTCAATTAACATTTCTAATTTGGTACTGAGGCATGCTGCTGTTAGAATAACAATTTGGAGGAGGGGAGGTAAGATCTATGCATGCTGAGTTCCTTACAGAATTGTAGAAGAGGTACAACGACTGGGAAAACTAACAGCTACAGCAATCCTGAGGAAAGAAGTTGTCCTGAGTGAGTTAAGTGAAAGAGGAGAGGCCCTCTGGGAGAGGTCTGGACTACTAAAGATGGACACCAGGCCACCTGAGTAGGATCCTGTAAGGAATAGGGAGACCATGCAGCATTCAGAACAGAATGCGTGCTTGCAATCAGTCCACCTAGGAGTCTATGGACAGTCTCAAAACCTCAAATAACAAGCAGCAGTGGAACTGATCACCATTCATCACTACCTCCATCTAGTCCTTGAATAATAAATAAATTAAAAAAAAAGCTGATGCAAGAATATCTGCCAGGAGCCTGAAACAGCAGCTCACAGATGTTAGCTACCCCATTAATTTCAATTAGATGTTGACACCAAATCTTCTTCACTTCCCCTTAAATAGTAATACCTGTTGCACTGAATTTTAGTAATAGGGGAAATAATCTAGATTTCTGTCTTTTGTGGTATCAGTCCACCTTTCAACCTTCTCAACTGCCAGATTTCCCACTCAGTTTCTTCTCATCAGCCAAGGCCTCCAGTGTACTATGGCCAACATCTGCAATGCTACTGAAAGTCAACACAGGGCCATATAATACGGTGACTCATGAGAACCATAATAAGTCAGGGGTGGGCAATAATTTTTGATGGGGAGGTCACTCCAAGAATTTGGAAAGTGGTCAAGGACTGCACTCTTCCATATTAATAGAGGAGGCGATGGTCTGGGATGGAGGTTGGGTGCAGAAGGGAGCTTGGGGTAAGGGAGGGAGCTTGGGTGAATGAGGCAGATGTGACCTGGGGCACTGGACTGAGTTACAGGGGGTGGATTGTGACCTAGGGCAGGGAATTGGGGTACAGGAGGGGGAGCAGGAATTTGTGTTGTGATCTGGGGCAGGGAATTGGGGTACCAGGTCAGAGAAGGGATATGGGTACAAGATGGGGGCAGAAGATTTGGGTATGTGGACTTGGGGGGAGGGGGCGGGGACAGAGTTGAGGAAGGGAGGAACTGAGATGCCAGAAGCAGGCTCTGGCCAGGAGACTTACCAGCCAGCAGCTGTTCCTGAATCTGCCCCCCGCCTGCCAGTGTTCCCTCTAAACTGATGGTGACACAGCTTCACAAGTGATTAATCAGCCCAGCCCAGTCAGTAAGCTCCCTGTACAGAACTCGGAGCCACTGATTGTTCTCTTCAGCTGTGCTGCCAGCAGTATGAAGGGAACATTGCTGCCCACACAGAGAGGCAAGCAGCCATATGCTCTGGAGCCTACTGTACTTTGTGTCCGCCTTTTATTAATTCAGGCAGCTCCCATTGGCTGATTTCTGGCCAGAAGCCAGCCAATGGGATTATGCTGAAGGCAGGCACAGCTCCTACAGCTTTCCCACCCTCCTCCTCCAGATTCAGAGTTTTTAAATAACATCCCATAACACCATTTCTGAGCTGCAGGCAGATGGGGCAAGGCAAGCAAGGAACTTGCCCGGGGCTCTCTGCAGCATCTATGGGCCATATTTTGTCAAGGCCTGCTATAAGGAATGCTGTAATGTTGCATTGATTCCCTAATCAATGCATTCACTTCCACTATTCAGAGCAGCTGTCATGCTAGTTCTAGTCTTGCTGCAGAATTTCAGGCTAGTTTCTTACAAGGTACACGGGATAGGCTAGATTGGATACAATTCAGGTTCATTAGCTTAACTGCCAACAATTCCCCATTTAAAAACAAGTTCCTAACACAGTATAAGCAAGCAGGCTCTGTGACTGCAGGCTTGACTGAAAAAGCCAAATCTGGTTTGTTTTTAATCCGTGTTCAAGACTAGGCCTAGCCTTTTCAGACAGCTTGTATTGATACAAATTAGTGTGGTGAACAGTTTGGCCCCAACTCAAGTAATCCTTGACTCAATTACAAAGCCATTAGGTATCAACTGGTGGGGTGTGAGGCTGGAGTAAGTGAGGGATCCTGCAGCATAACATGTAAAAGCCAGACTGCATGTTGCTATGTGGTAGAATTCTGTTTATGATACTGATCCAGTTGCAGAAAAACTGTACAACAGTCAATTAGAAAGCAGAAATCTACATTTTCTGTGTCCCACTAGCCTTATTGCTGCTTTTCAATATAGCAGCATTCAACTGTCAGTTACAAAAAAGGCCTGAGTATTTTCAACAACAAGGTGGGTAGACATTGTTAGAATTTGACAAGAAGGGGACATGGGGGAATAGAGGTGAAGAGTGACTTGTCCAAGGTTGCAATCAGCCTATGATAAAGTACAGGTTTGTTCCACTTCCAAGTCTGTGTTCTAGCCAATCTGCACACATTTGGCTTCTCTAATTGTCCCCTAGTGTAGACCTGGCCTATGTCAAACTAAAGTACACAACCAAGGCATCTCTAGTGCAGGATACTGACAGGAGAAACTCTTCCATTAGCTCCTCTTATTCTTCTTGCTTCAGAGGATTAACAGTTGATGGTCTTTACTAGGCCTGCTAAATTGAACCCTGAGAACGATATCTATAGCACTGGTAAACGTAGATGAGGAGCTCTGTGATGAAGTCTAACAAAGCCCCAAAGCGGTATGTACAAAATATATAAGAGAGTTGTCAAGCTTTAGAGACTGGACATATACAGATCCTCCCCTCCTGAGTTTTCACTGCATGGAGTGGAGACAGAGACTATTAACCATGTTAACCATTTTCACAGCTTTCTTAAATATATCAGAGACAGAGTTAGGCACCACAACAGCCAATTCATAGTTAATAAATATATTTTTTATTTTACAGACATATTCAAGTTTTTGTTTTTAAAACATCACTAAACCACCTCTCTTGCTGCTAAAACACATAGGTTGGACTGTATCACCTTAGGTGTTATACAAGTGCACAAGACTGCCTTGGATGGTATGAGCAGCTTTGAGAACATGGAGATACAGGGAACATTAATAAAGTCACAGATCTTACTGACATTTTCCAGCAGCAAGTGTGACTGGTGGCCTTAGGCCATTGTTCAGCTATACACATGCCAAGCACATCTTGGCAAACACTTCAATTGATAAGAGCTCATATTCACTGTAGAGATCTCCACTGTATAGCCTTCCCATACAATGGTTTCCCTAATAATGAGCCTGCACCAGTGAGGTACTAAGCATCCTCAACTCCTGTAGAATTCAATGGGATCAGACAGTGCATGACAGCTTACAGGATTAGGCCCTAAGGAATCTGTTTTCAATGCATATACATAACTCCAAAAGTAAAAAACTGAAGCTGTACATGAAGACAAGACTCCTAATTCTGGAAACACTCTGATCTACTTCCAGCTTTCACAGTAAATAAATAATTAAGTTTCTGATGTGGCCAATTAACATTGAAGGTAATATGTTTTTAAGAGAGGCCTTTTGTTTTTGTGTTTTGAAAAAGCCATTTAACAAGACTCCCTTAAATCTGCCACCAACTAAAAAAGGACAAACTTTTTAGAAAACAATTCCTCATTTTGATGACTTCCACGTTTTACCTTCACATTGATAATAAGTCAGGTTTTAAAAATCCAGCTCCATTTGGATTGGAGTTGTGTCTCTGAAGAAAGCAGGCAGATTGATTATTCAATCCATTATTGCAGTGGATTTGGTGCCTTTGCCAACAAGGGGCAGTGTGCTGGGAAAAAGACTCCTAGTACAGACTAGTTAAGAATAATACAAACAATGCTTCATTCATGAAAAAGTCCTTGGCCAGTCAGTGCTAGGTTTAAAAAGGATGACAAGGAAATCAAATCAATGACTTAAGAGTTAAATCATAGGATACATCTGTCACTATTCAAGCTAAACAGTCAATATTGCCCCTTCTAAAACAGGACATGAGATTTCATTGCCAAAGCAGGAGCACAACCCAAGAGTTTCAGATTTAATTTTTTCCCTCCGCCCTTATAAAATACGCATAAGTCTTTGAGTGTATGCTCAGGAAGCACAGATCAATATTTGCAAAAATGTACAAAATTGAATAAAAAGTTTCCATAATCTATGATAATCTGTTCAAGTCTGTCTGGAAACCTGTAACAGATATTTAAATACTGCAGAGCAAAAAGGGTTTTTTTAAACAATTTTAAAATATAAGAAGCAATCCACGCAGATAGATGTGTTAAATTAAAAAAAAAAAAAAATCCATCAGCTCTCTTCAATGGTGCTTAGCCCAAAGTAGGATGGATTAGTGTTTCAGCCATGGATGAGCTTCAATGGAAGCTTTGCTCCTGTCACCATAGTCATACAATAGTTCTTCACCCACTTCAATGTCTCGTGAGGCTATCAGAATAAGATGAGGTATGCCATCAATATCGTGAAGCTTTGTTTGACAATTGCCACATTTGCTGTGATTAATCAGCCTTCCCAGACGATTAGTCTCTTTTGTAGCATCAACACTGAAAGAACAAAAACACAGATTGGGAGATTTCTGCACAGCACACAAAGTCATGTTCTCGCAGCTAGAAGAAGTAAATCCACACTGAAAAAAAAAAAAAAAAAAATCAAGAGATGAAAACATTGTGTCCAATCAGCAAATAGTATATTTTGTCTGTTTTAAAGCTACCTACCCTGATGCCACCACTGCCCTGAAAGGCGGAATAAGCTTAACCAAGTTGCTCTAGCAGGGACAGGTAATCTGTTGCCCAAGAACCACATGTGGTCTATTGAGGTTCTATGCCGATGAGACATTTACAGTGGGTCACGTACATGGTTGCCCAATTTTGATAGTTGTCATCTGCATAGAATTTAATACTGGTAGAAAAAAAAAAACTATCACTTTATTTATTGAAGTAAAGGCATGTGAAGTGAGGTGTGTGCTGACTGCGCACAACATTGAGAGCCTGTGTGTTCTCTCTGCATCCAATCAGAGCAGGGATACGGTTTAATTGGCACATCCCATAAATTCTAGGTACATGCATGCAGTTTGCAAACTACCCTATCTCAGGAGATTGTCTTGGTTAGGACAATCATGCTGTCCATTGAGATGGAGAGCCACTTGTGGCCCACTCATTAGCCTGGGTTGCCCCTCACTGCTCTAGAAAAACCAAATCCCAGTTCTATCTACTAAGCCATGTTGTCTTAATTCCAATTTCACACATTATAATCAGACAAGATGCCTAACAAGTAGTTTTGAATATTTAAGCAGTGGGAATGAAAAGCCAGTCTCTCCACATAAGTGTAAAAATTCCAAGTTCAAAATTTAACAGGAAAACTGAATGATCGAGCACCTTCAAATCTTCATCCACTTATTCCATTCCTTAAATAGACTTTAAAATGAATAGAATCCAAAGCTTACCAGTATGTTTTGCTTAGATACTGAAAGTAGTACATATAGCAACCTGTGGATGGGTCTTGGGCATACAGAGCTTCTCGCTTTTTAGCATCAGTGATCTCTATGAGATCCCCATGGTATTCTACCACAAATTCTCCTTTGTTGAAGTGTTTGGTAGCAATTACCCCTCTGCCTTTACCATCAATGAAATCAATCTGTCAAAGGAAAAAAGGAGCTAAGTTAGCAAAGCCGCAAAATATTTAAACTGTTTTAAATAGATAAGAACCCACAGGCCTGGGCAGTAGGCAGTTAACTGTGATATCAGCTAATGCACTGACTGTGATGTAGGGATGTAAAATCTCAGTTAATTGGTTAAATGTTAGGTTGACCAATTAAGCAGGATCCGGGGCAGTGGACAGCTCCAGCCTGGCTGCAGCAGCTCCCAGCCCACACTGGGTCTGCTGGCTTCCAACCTGCACACAGGGTCTGGGACTGCCACTGGTTTCTGGTTCCCAGCTCACACTGGAGACTCACTGTAGACAGAGGCTGCTTCGGATGAGAGCAGCTCCTGTCTGTGGCAGGCCCCCTGTGGGACTGGAGCAGCCCAGTGCCATGGTAGGCAGGGAGTTGTTTTAGCCCCCACCAGATAACCTTTCACGTCCCTAGTTCGGTGGTAGTAGCTCTCCCATCATTTGCTGCCATAAGGAAAAAGCCTATATTTGCTGTTCTGTGCCATGCCAAAAAAACCTTTTTACCATACAGTTGACAGACACAGGAGGAGACCCACAAACACTTAGAAGCTAGTCCAAGGAGTATGCACAAGTGATTCATTCATTTCCTTGGAAGTATACGATTGCTGATGAGACCTTTATTTTACAGCACAAACAAAATGTTCTTTACACCACCATATCTGTTGTTCCAAAGGAAAGAAACACTAGTATTACAGCTTGACATTAAAAAGGATGACATAATACATTTACAAATTCACTGAAAAATACAAATAGCAATGCACAGTCAGTGTCATACTATTTAAGTTGGTGTTGCAGTTACCTTCATTCCTTCTTCTTTCCCACTTTCAATTAATTCATCTATTCTCTTCTTTTCCTCAGTCTGCAAAAAGAAAAACCTATAATATTGCTACTAGGATTTCGGGATGGGGATTGAGCTAAGTGTTTTAGGGAGGTATTTATCTGCTTATATTTCTACACACCACTCTGTGGTGCCCTTCTAAACTTCAGACATGTCAGAGGTAGGACTTAACATTAAAAAGAAAATTTCAAAGTGCTGTCCAGGAATGTGCACATTTTTCTATATGAGCAGCTGGAAGGCATCTTTAAAGGACTCCAAATTTAGATTTTGATGTTTGAGAAAGATGTTGCAAGTAAACAGGTCGCATCTACCAAATCCAGGACTCTCTGGTCTGGCAACATCCATAGTCCAAGCAGAACCACAGATCTTGCTCTGGAGGTGGGAGCAATGCAGGGGCTGGGGCAAGTGACATCTGGGGAGCCCTCCACACCCTGGCCAAGGAACCCTGGTGCTAGTGGAGCAAAGGTTGCAGTGGTGCTGTTGGCAGCTGGGGAGCCCTGGTCAGAAACCCCTCAGTGGCAGGAGGGCTGGGATGACCAGGCAGCCTCTGCCAGGGAACTCCCTGACTGAAGTTGGGTTGGTGGAAGCAGGCAGTTGGAATCCCCAGTGGCAGTGGGGTGGCCCTAGCAGCAGGTCAGGGAAGCCAGACAGCCTTGGCTGGGGTGCCCTGTGGCAGTGAGGCTAGCAGCAGCCAACTTTAGCAGACCCTGCGGTAGCAGGGTGGAGAGCCCATGCCAGTATGTGGAAGGGATACAGCCAGCAGGGGAGCACTGACCTCCCCTAGTCTAGCAAACTTCCTGGATAAAGACAGCTCAGGTCCTGAGGGTGCCTGACCAGGGAGGTCCATACTGTATTGTACTTTATCTAAGAACCATCCTAGATAGTTCTAAAATTACAAGCATCTGCGTCCAGCCTCATAAGTGTTCAGCTGCTGGACAGCATGGAAAATGCCAGTTTTCAGTAGGTTATACGAAAAGCACTACCTGCAATTCAGTTTTGCTCTTCCTGGAACTTCTTCTAACAGGGTAATAGTCTGTCACTTTTCGATTCTGTAATGTTTTCCCTTGTGCTCTAAGGGATAAGGAAAGGATACATAAACACTTCAGCTTCTCTGGCCTCACTGCCATAACTCAAGAGAGTCTGTCAAGAAGCTATTTGTTGCCAAGACAATGATCTGAGAGATGGCTGGCCAAAACTAAGGACTTTCTATATGCACCTCTCATTCGGATACTCCTTTTTTACTCTAATTCTTCCCCACTGGCCTCACCACCTGTATTTCAGTTCAAACTCTTGGGATGAGACTCAGGTATTTCTGAAGTGCAGAGGATTAGCTCAAATTACTACTCTACAGCAGTAGTTCCCAATCTTTTTGATACCCGGGACCAGCAAACCTATTCACAAACTTTTGGCGGAACGTCAACATTTTATTTGCATGTTTATTATGCAAACAATGAATATGCAAACAGTGTTGCCAGTGCGCCAAAAGCCCCAGCCCCCAATGCCAGTCCTAACCCTAGAAGCCTCTACTACCCCCCCAGCGCCAGCCACCGACCCA